CTGTTGTATTCTGAGCACCTCTGCAAAAACAGTGATAATGTGCGAGTGTGGTGAAAGTGTTGAATGATGATGAAAGTATTTTCTTTTTGGGGATTTTCTTTCTTTTTTGGGTCACCCTGCCTCGGTGGGAGACGGCCGACTTGTTGAAAAAAAAAAAAAAATAACTACCTTAGTTCATATATTCACAACTGTTAAAATAATCAAGGTGCTATTCTCAGGTGCTAAAGTGTAATAAGTTCACTATTTTGCCATTATATTCCAAAGCTCATTTATTTGATTACCACTTTATTGTTCACCACAACTTATATTAGTCCCTTTTATATTATAATTTTATATTATAATTCTAACTTTAAAGAATTACCTTTAAAGTACTACCTACTATCATATTCCCAAGCCCCATTATTTGATCATCACTTTATTTGTTCACCACAAATTATTTAGTCCCTTTTATATTGTCTCCTTTATTTTAGCTTTAAAAAACTACCTTAGCTCATTATTTTTACATTTGTTAAATAACTCAGGTGCTATTTTTTAGCTTTAGAATATTTACTTTGTTTTATACTTAATTCTAACTATAGATTCACTACAAATCTTATGATTACAAGCATTGATTCTGATACCAACCTCCTATTTAATAACTTAAATGAATCAAACAGTTACTGTAATTACTACACAGCAGAACAATCAAAGGCACTTCTCAGAGCCAACAACAACATAACTATCTTTAACTACAATATCAGATCTTCAAGCAAGCATTACGATGACCTCATAGCATTACTAAATTCCTTGCATGCCAATATGTCCATCATTACACTAACTGAAACCTGGCTAAAGCCTGATACTACAGATGTCTATGCCATTCCTGGTTACACAGCCATACACAACTGTAGGCCAGACCAACAAGGGGGTGGCACAGCTATATACTACTTAGACCAACTAGAATGTATCACTAATACTTGCACAAGGGATGAACATGGGGAATATATAATAGCTAAATTCAAATCCAAATACCTACAAAAACTTCTCACAGTGATAAACATCTACAGAGTTCCACAATCAAACATTAGCCAATTTAGTCAAAACCTAGGAAGTATGATAACTGATGCACGCATGAACAAAGATCACTTACTACTCTCAGGTGACTTCAATATAAATCTCCTGCAAGACCAGGACCCACACGTTACTGAATTCACAAACACAATGAGTAACTGCATGTTGCTACCAACAGTAACAAAACCTACAAGAGTTACGGAGACTAGTGTTTCCCTACTTGACCACATCTGGACCAACACCATATCCCCTTTAAAATCAGGCATAATTACAGATAATACCACAGACCACTACCCTACTTTCCTCATAACAACTCTTGGTAAATTACCCCAAGACACTACTAAAGTCACCTTCAGACTTCACAATGAGGCAGCCATTAATAACTTCTCAACAGCAGTAACAAACATTGACTGGCACACTGAGCTAGAAATCTATACAGATATTGACGAATGTTTTAATAATTTTCTAAAAAAGACCCAATACCTCTATAACAAGCACTGGCCTAAAAAAACTAAACAGATGACAGCTAAGAGACTGAACAGTCCCTGGCTAACACCCAGCATTCTCAAATCCATAAATACAAAACACCGATATGAAAAACAGTACAGAATGGGTCACATAACCAGAGACCAAACAAAACGTTACTCGTCAATCCTAACCAGCCTGATAAGAAGGGCAAAAAAATTGTATTATGAGAACAGAATTATCCAACTTACGAGGTGATATAAAAAAGACCTGGAAGACCCTATCAGAAATTCTGGGAACAAAAATGATATCACGAAATAGCGAAATAAAATTAGCAAAATCAGATGAACCCCAACTCCCATCAACAGAAACAGCAGACTCAATGATTTCTTCTCCACTATAGGACAAAACCTTGCCAATAAAATCCCAAGCTCAGATACCCCACCAAATGACTACCTCACTGGCAACTAACCGAACACACTGTTCCTAGCTCCGACTAACCCATACGAAGTCTCCCTTATTATCAACGCACTAAAAAACAAGGCAGGAGATTTAAATACCTTACCACCCTTTATATACAAAAAAGTGTCACAAGTACTATCACCAATCATTGCAACACTCTTTAACAAATCCATTGAATCCTCCACATTCCCTACAGTTCTCAAAATAGCAAGGGTCACCCCGATCCATAAAGGAGGAGACCAAACAGAGTTGAATAACTATAGGCCAATATCCAATTTACACCCTCTCTCAAAAATCTTCGAAAAATTAATTCATAAACGAATCTACTCCTACCTCATCTCCCAAAACATACTCAACCCTGCCAATTTGGATTCAGGCCTAATAAAAATACTAATGATGCTATTATACACATGCTAGAACATATATACACTGCAATAGAGAAAAAAGAAGTCCCACTGGGGATCTTCATTGACTTACTTAAAGCTTTTGATACAGTTGACCATGACTTGCTCCACGTAAAATTGTCACACTATGGTATAAGAGGGCACTCCCTCAACTACCTCAAGTCATACCTCAGCAACAGAAGCCAATATGTGTACGCAAATGGGGCAAGCTCTTCCGCACAACCAATTACAGTTGGTGTCCCACAGGGAAGTGTCCTTGGGCCTCTTCTCTTTCTTCTATACATAAATGACCTACCAAATGCTTCGCAATTACTCAAACCCACACTTTTTGCAGATGACACTACATACGTCTTCTCTCACCCGAGCCCAGTCACGCTAGCCAATACTGCAAATACCGAATTACAGAAAATATCTACCTGGATGAGGACTAACAAACTTACACTAAACATTGACAAAACCTACTTCATTCAGTTTGGTAACAGAGCTACAGATGTACCTCTTAACATAACAATAAACGGATCACCTATCACAAAGCTAACAGAGGGAAAATTCTTAGGAATCCACCTTGATAATAGACTCAAATTTCATACATATACACAACAAATTTCTAAGAAAATTTCCAAGACTGTAGGCATACTATCAAAGATACGGTACTATGCTCCACAGTCAGCCCTCCTGGCCCTTTATCACTCTCTTATTTACCCCTATCTCACCTATGGAATTTGTGCATGGGGCTCAAACAATTAACCATCTCAGACCACTAATTACCCAAGAAAAGGCTGCAGTTAGAATAATAACAAATTCTCACTACAGGCAGCACACTCCACCAATATTCAAAACACTCAACCTACTCACCATACAAAACATCCATACTTATTATTGCACCTATTACATACAGAGAACACTTAACTCTGATATTAACCCTCCCCTCAAACATCTCCTTGCCAACCTCAACAGAACACATGACCATAACACAAGGCACAGATCACTCTTTGATGTTCCTTGTGTCCATCTCACGCTATGCAAAAACTCAATGCACATAAAAGGCCCTAAAATCTGGAATTCATTACCTGTAAATATAAAAGAAACACTACCTGTTTATAAATTCAAGTCTCTTCTCAAAGATCACTTACTCACCCAAAACCAAATAAATACTGAATAACTGAACCTTATAAATTGTATATCCTAAATGTTACTCACAATTATATCACATAAATGTTAAACCTAGGACCCAATCAAACTTTGTTATTTTTTAAATACACTACCTAACAGAATACTCCATTCTACTGAATGTACAGCAATGCATACAACCATATGACCTGTCTTTGTAATACTCATTTGTGCTTTATAGTTATCTGTTTACAATAATGTCTTATCACTCATTTCATCATTGCTTAGTTAATCTTAAGTTAATTTTAAGCCAGTCCGTAATGCTATGCATATAAGAGGCTTTGGCATGCTGCTCTTACCTGTATTTTTTTGTACCTCTGTTTGTATGCTAAAATTACTAAATAAATAAATAAATCCATTCTCTCTAAATGACCAAACCACCTCAACAACCCCTCTTCTGCCCACTGACTAATACTTTTATTAACTCCACACCTTTTCCTAATTTCCACACTCCGAATTTTCTGCATAATATTTACACCACACATTGCCCTTAAACAGGACATCTCCACTGCCTCCAACCGTCTCCTCGCTGCTGCATTTACCACCCAAGCTTCACACCCATATGAGAGTGTTGGTACTACTATACTTTCATACATTCCCTTCTTTGCCTCCATAGATAACGTTTTTTGACTCCACATATACGTCAACGCACCACTCACCTTTTTTCCCTCATCAATTCTATGATTAACCTCATCCTTCATAAATCCATCCGCCGACACGTCAACTCCCAAGTATCTGAAAACATTCACTTCTTCCATACTCCTCCTCCCCAATTTGATATCCAATTTTTCTTTATCTAAATCATTTGACACCCTCATCACATTACTCTTTTCTATGTTCACTTTCAACTTTCTACCTTTACACACATTCCCAAACTCATCCACTAACCTTTGCAATTTTTTTTTAGAATCTCCCATAAGCACAGTATCATCAGCAAAAAGTAACTCTGTCAATTCCCATTTTGAATTTGATTCCCCAAAATTTAATCCCACCCCTCTCCCGAACACCCTAGCATTTACTTCCTTTACAACCCCATCTATAAATATATTAAACAACCATGGTGACATTACACATCCCTGTCTAAGACCTACTTTTACTGGGAAGTAGTCTCCCTCTCTTCTACACACCCTAACCTGAGCCTCACTATCCTCATAAAAACTCTTTACAGCATTTAATAACTTACCACCTATTCCATATACTTGCAACATCTGCCACATTGCTCCTCTATCCACTCTATCATATGCCTTTTCTAAATCCATAAATGCAATAAAAACTTCCCTACCTTTATCTAAATACTAATATTAAAAAATGGATCCCTAAAACCTCCTGATTGTTTTGCAGCCAAAATACTTAAGTGGATTAAATAGATAAGAAATAAGAAAGTTGCTCAGCAAAAAATTATCTACATACGTACAAATACTACAAATAATAACCCCGAGTTACACTTACATGCATTTGAAACCACTTGTAAGATGGTTGAAAGCCTTTCCTTCAAATGGATCACAAATAAACACATCCTGTTTAGTAGGAGCAAACTGAAGACAGTCTTCTGTTGTCAACCATATGCAATTTAAACCATTTTCTTGGCATGCCTGTAAAAAGTGAAAGTGTATTTCTGCTATGGTATATTATGAATATGTCCTGTACAGGATTATCCAGTTTTTTAATAACTTTTACTTTGCTAAGAATTAGATTTTCCAAATTACACAGCAAAATGACCTCTACCAATATGGTATGTGAAGTGATACAAATCTCAATAACCAAACGCAAACATTCTGCATCTACTGAAAAACCTAGTCTGTCTGTTCTACAAAAGTAAGTAACCCTTAGTGAGAAAATTTGTCTTTTACAAAGGAAAAATTTTTTCTAAGTATTCACAAGAAATGAAAGACCACTGTAAAATACGAAAAATATTAAATAGCTAAAAAATAAGGAAACCTGCTAATAACATCAAGTATTACATTTTTATACTGTGCCAATTCTCACTACCTGAAAAGCACAGATGAGCCCAGTCGAGCAAGTTTCTTCAGTCAAACCTGGTAGCAGAACAAAATAAAGGGTGAAATTTCCATCCTGTGAGCAGACACTAGCCTCCATGATTGATATAAACCCATCCTGCAAAAAATAAGAAGTGAATTAGTTATAAACACTTAAGATGAGTAACAAGAGCAAATTGATATAAATAGGTTCAATTACATATGGGTGATTGAGGAGATTGTTAAGGCAATGGTTTTAACTCCATTTTAAAAGGAGGCACAAATTTGCATTGCAAAGATTATCATGGTAAGCAACACATTTCCTAACTGTTTTTCAACCGCAAGTCTCGCAGTTCAATTTTACTTTAGATAATTTCTTCTCTGGTATAGTATTCCTATGTGCTATACATGGGACTAGTATTATTAAATTCATAAAATAGTATGTGCAAGTAGTTACATTTAAGAGGCGGCCAAATTAAACTGCTTTGGAATTTTGTACCAAGTGCAAAAAAAAAAAAAAATACCAGCAGTTGAAAGTTAACCTAAATGCTTGCCCGTCCATATTTCCTAACAATTTTAATGCTAACATATAATTATGGAATTGCAAAACTCCCTGGATAATTGAACTTATGATTATATGTATATATAACAAAGATAAAACTAGGTAGTAGGTTGGTAGACAGCAACCGCCCAGGGAGGTACTACCGTCCTGCCAAGCGAGTGTAAAACTGAAGCCTGTAATTGTTTTACACGATGGTAGGATTGCTTGTGTCTTTTTTTTTTTGTCTCATAAACATGCAAGATTTCAGGTACGTCTTGCTACTTCTACATACACTTAGGTCACACTACACATACATGTACAAGCATATATATACACACACCCCTTTGGGTTTTCTTCTATTTTCTTTCTAGTTCTTGTTCTTGTTCTTGTTTATTTCCTCTTACCTCCATGGGGAAGTGGAACAGAATTCTTCCTCTGTAAGCCATGCGTGTTGTAAGAGCGACTAAAATGCCGGGAGCAAGGGGCTAGTAACCCCTTCTCCTGTATATATTACTAAATGTAAAAGGATAGTAACCCCGGTGTCACGGAGCACGACAGGACAGTAACTCCGGTGTCACAGAACTTGACAGGACAGTAACCCCGGTGTCACGAAGCACGACAGGACAGTAACCCCGGTGTCACGAAGCACTACAGGACAGTAACCCCGGTGTCACGGAGCACGACAGGACAGTAGCCCCGGTGTCACGGAGCACGACAGGACAGTAGCCCCGGAGTCACGGAGCACGACAGGACAGTAGCCCCGGTGTCACGGAGCACGACAGGACAGTAGCCCCGGTGTCACGGAGCACGACAGGACAGTAGCCCCGGTGTCACGGAGCACGACAGGACAGTAGCCCCGGTGTCACGGAGCACGACAGGACAGTAGCCCCGGTGTCACGGAGCACGACAGCACAGTAGCCCCGGTGTCACGGAGCACGACAGCACAGTAGCCCCGGTGTCACGGAGCACGACAGCACAGTAGCCCCGGTGTCACGGAGCACGACAGCACAGTAACCCCGGTGTCACGGAGCACGACAGCACAGTAACCCCGGTGTCACGGAGCACGACAGCACAGTAACCCCGGTGTCACGGAGCACGACAGCACAGTAACCCCGGTGTCACGGAGCACGACAGCACAGTAACCCCGGTGTCACGGAGCACGACAGCACAGTAACCCCGGTGTCACGGAGCATGACAGCACAGTAACCCCGGTGTCACGGAGCATGACAGCACAGTAACCCCGGTGTCACGGAGCATGACAGCACAGTAACCCCGGTGTCACGGAGCATGACAGCACAGTAACCCCGGTGTCACGGAGCATGACAGCACAGTAACCCCGGTGTCACGGAGCATGACAGCACAGTAACCCCGGTGTCACGGAGCATGACAGCACAGTAACCCCGGTGTCACGGAGCATGACAGCACAGTAACCCCGGTGTCACGGAGCATGACAGCACAGTAACCCCGGTGTCACGGAGCATGACAGCACAGTAACCCCGGTGTCACGGAGCATGACAGCACAGTAACCCCGGTGTCACAGAGCACAACAGGATAGTAACCCTGTGTCATGGTACATGACAACTACAACACACATAATTGGTTCTTGCTCTAACCTTGCAAAATCTCAAATATTAACATTGCATTCATGGGGAAGCACTAAACCCGCAGGCTCATACATCGTGTAAGGGAGGCGGTAACAGGAAGTAAAGGATAAGGTAACTTCAATTCCCTAGACTCAAGAGCCCGTCACAAGTATCAAGGAGCAAAATGTCAAACAAATTAACGTAGACACAATTGCACTTTAACTTAAAAATATAGAAAAAATTTTGAAGTTGATCCCGCCAGCAACAAGCTTCCTATAAAGCAACAAAGGTTTAAAGGACATGTAACGCGGGTATAAAACAGTATTAACAAAAAAAACAGTAAAAAGCTAAACATATTAATAAACCACAATTTAATAAAAAATTTGAATTCTTGTGGTCAGGTGATTTATGGCGGGAACTGTAGCTGCTGCCCCACCTCCCCTCATTAAAGGGAAAATTTCTTTCCTAGTAAAAAAAAAGCTTTTTAAAATCCCGAACACATGAGACAAAATCATCATATAACATATATTTTTTAAAAAATAAAGGATAACCCAAAAAGTCAGACAAAAATTTTTTATTCCCCTGGGTCCCCTTTTCCAAAAACACATCATATACTTTGTTGGGCTATCTTAAGTTAATTTAAAGGGGAATTTTATAAAAATAATGAGAAATTTAAATTTTTAACATAAATTGGGTTTTATTATTTTTAAAATGAGGGATATTTTGGGAGGCCTTTGACCTAACAAAAAGGAGGAAAATCCAGTTGGGGTGTTCAAAATTTTATTTTTGAATTTAATAATAATAAAAATAATAATAATAAATAATAATAAAAAATAATAATAATAATAATAATAATAAAATAATAAAAATAATAATAATAAAAAAAATTTAATAATAATAATTTATTATTATTATTTTTATTATTTTTAAATTTTTATTATTATTATTATTATCGTAGTAGGTAAAGTAGTCTAGTAGAGTAAGTAGTAGAAATTTTAGTAGAAGTGGGAGTAGAAGTATAATGTTAGTAGTAATAGCAATATATAGTAGAAACTAGTAGTAGAAATATTAGTAGAATAGAAATATAGTATAGTAGAAGTAATAATGTATGGTGGAGTAGTGTATCCCCATAGTTGTAGTAGTAGTAATAGGTGTTGTAGTAGTAGCTGTAGTATATATTAAGTTTTTTCAGATACCTCCACATAAATACAGTTACAAAATCTAACATATTGGCATCATAGCAGCTGTACCGTACTAAATAAGCTTGTTTTTCTCTAGGGTCCTGTGTTTGGTAACAACACTCCGCCTCGCACACTGATTCCATGTTCACCCCCGAAAAGGGTAAAAACTTTGGGGGCGTATTTCCTTACACCTTTTATCCCTTCCCCTAAACAAAAAACTAGGTCCTGGTGTTGTGACGGGTGGGGTCGATCCTGGGGACAATTTGAAGGCCCACAAGGGGAAATAAACAACAATCCCTTGAGCACTGCCACTTTTGGATTTTTCGGGTAGCTAACCCTCCCGGGGTTTAAAAATCCAACGAAACTTAATTTTATCATAGGTTTTGGCCAATACTCTTCGACAGGGGGAAAGCAGAGATCGATATGTTGAAAGAATCCAAAAGCCAAAAAATTTCAACAAGTAAGAATTAAGATTATCGCCCGAAATGCCTAAGCATGCTTTTGGCTTTCTTTTTTTACTATTTTATAAATATGTAAACCACACACTCTAAGCTTTTTAAGAAAAAAAATGTTCATTTTCATTCAAAAGACCCCAAGGACGACCCACTTGTTGCTAATCTTTAAAATCCACAACAACAGTGCAGTTATTTGAACTCGGGGGGAGGGTCGCTGCCCCTTAAAACCCACTAGAAGAGGGGCTCAGAGTTGACTATCTTCAAATTATGTAAAAGGTTAATTGGTTTTGAGTGACTGGTTATTGAGCCGACTGGGACTGGGAGAACTGATTCAGGATTGGCTATTTGTGGAGGTAAAAGCAAGAAAGAAGTATTACAGTCTGCCTCCGGTTCATGTGCCGGTCCACCTCGTACTTACTGGTCCTTATTTGATTTTGGCGATAATTTATTCCTTAAAATGTCTAGTATTAGTTTTTTTTTTTTTTTTATGGGCACTGTTTTATGGTGATAGACACATTCACAGTTCAAGACGTTTGTTGAGGAAACGTCTCGCCACAAGTGGGTTCTTAAAAACTAATTCAAATTCCATTCAATTTCCAGGTTTATTTTCATATCATACATTTTTTTTTATAGGAATGATTGACACTAATGCATGCAGAAAACCCATGACTATGCAGAGCATTTTGGGCAAGCTTAACCATATAATAATAATAATTATTATTATTATTATTATTTCTATAAGTACATGATGCAGCTAAAACAGATCATAGTTGACATCAGTGACATATTACTATATAGAAAGCCCCTTGTTATGCGGAGCATATCAGGTACTTTAGGTTAATTTTGTCCCAGGATGCGACCCACACCAGTTGATTAACACCCAGGTGCCTTTTTTACTACTAGGTGAACATGGACGGCAGGTGTCTTAAGGAAGCACGCGGAATGTTTCCACCTGTACCAGGATCGAACCATGGACGTCAATGTGTGAGCAGAGTGCACTACCAAGCCACTCATGGCGAAACGTTTTCTCAATAAATGTCCTGACCTGTGCATGTGTCTTTCAATGCTGTCTCTGTCATCATACCTTTTCATTCAGTGTTTTATGGGTCACGGATAAAGTTCCTGGGACAGAATTCCACCAGCATTCCACAGCATAACTTACCCTTATCTGTAAAACATAAAATACTTATATGTTAGTCTTACTCTGTTAAGTGATTCGGGTTTGGTTTATACTCTGTTTCAGGATTTGTAACAAGGTGGGAGAGTTACTCTTTTGCATCTTGAAAAATGTCTGATTTTTTCTGATTTGTAATGACACTTTGTCTGATCTTATAAACAATTGAAGAACATTAATATATCTGAGATATTGCAATAGTGTTGTACATTATACAATATACAAATAACCCACACATAGGAAAGAGGAGCTTAGGATGACATTTCAGTCTGACTTGTGACTATTATATATTTACAAAGTCACACTAAGACAAAAGAGAGAGGAAGCCAGTGTATATTTGTAGGTGAGCTGGACAGGGATGGGACCAAGAGAGGAAGAAAAAGTAGTAGTGATAGTGGTAGGGCTGGTAGTGGTAGTAGATAGTAGAGAGAGTAGTTATAGTGGGACAAGAGACAGAAAGGGTAGTGATGGGTTAATGCTAAAGCAACTAAGATGCATATTCTTTCTAAGTACTGTACATATTATTTTCCTTGCAGGTTCTGAGGAATTAATACACCATGAAAGTTGCCAGTTCAAAGGTGCCTGCCCGAGTTGTGTACATGAAAAAGGTATGCTATATAAAGTACATGTACATATTTTTAAGCTATGTGCAGTGCTGTCTTAACTGTGCTATTTTTGAAACTAAAATATAATACAGTATAAATGGCATGGCAAAGAGTTTGGAGTTTGTAAGAAATAATAAAATAGGAGTTTGAAGTTTGAAATAGTTGAAAGACATTATTTGGGAATGCTGGTGATCTCACTAACTTTCACAGGTTGATTGGTCAGGATGAAATTGATATTTTCCTACTGGCAAAAAGTTCTCCAGTAAATTATTTTGTTGGCTAACTGCCTAACATCAGTGATTTTTAAACTAACTTCATCAGATACCTTTGGTGTTCCATTCTGTATGAATCTTGATAAGGCATTTAATAAGATCAACACAAGTAGGTGTGCCTATGAAGTCATCCTGCACAGGAAGAAAGCCACCCAAGTCCACCCAGCCTGACTAACCATCAGATGCCAAAGGCCTAGAGCTTTCATTCAACTCTACCGCCCTGTGGTGGTTTTGCATCTGTTATCACTCGGTTGTAATTATTGCATACTGTATTTTGTAGACTACGTAATAGTTCTTTATGATGAGTAAGAGTGCCTGGTCATTACTCACCTGTATAAATTAATTCCTAAGGATTATAAGGAAAACTTATCATCTAATTTTACTGTTATTTTCCTATTTGGAAGTGTCATAAAATAACCTTAATGCAAAATTTTATTACAATTTGAACTATAGTTTTGGAGATAGAAATTATTTTCCATTGTAATTGTTCATAATGCTATCCTCATAACATATTTTCTCATAAAATTAATATGCAAATGGTAAAGCACAGTTTATATTTCTGTATTTTTTAACCACACCAGCCATCTTCCAACAAGGTAGGATGACCAAAAAGAAAAAAAGAAATATTGAACATCATTATTCAATAGCTGTCTTGCCAGAAGTATGCAGACATCAAAATTAAAATGACCCCACCTAGAGTGTAGGCACTGTATTTCCCACTCCAGGGACCTGAATGCCCAAACCACCTCAACAACCCATCCTTTACCCTCTGAAGAATACATTTCACTACCCTGCACCATGTATCTAAAAGTAACCAGGAGAAAATAACATTTATCTTTGCAAGTGATTCCTAAATTATTATCTATGCAAATAATTCATAAATTACCAGTCGTTGTAGTGTGAATAATATGCAGAGAATTTGTAGCTTGAAGATTAGAAGTCAGCTTGGGATTGCTAAAAGTATTATCCAGAGGGCTGAAGAAGGATGGAACAAATTAGAATGAATGACTTGGAAAGCATATGAATCTATTCTGGAGGGGGGGGGGGTTAGAGGGAAGAGGGATAAACGTTAGGGAAAGGTTAGAGGGAAGGGATAAACGAGGTTTTGTGTGTGAGAGGCTTAGATATCCAGGAAACATGTGCGAGTGTGTTAGATAGGAGTGAGTAGAGGCAAGTGGTTTCTTTAACTTGATGTGCTGTTGGAGTGTTAGTGAAGTAATATTTATGAGGGATTCAGGGAAACCAGTTAGCCAGACTTGAGTCTTGGAGATGGAAAGTACAGTGCCCACACTTTGAAGGAGGTGTGGGGATATTTTCAGTTGTGAATTGCAGTATCAATACCCCTCTGGCAAGATAGTGATGGAGAGAGTGATGGTGAAAGTGTTTCTTTTTTTGGGCCACTCTGCCTCAGTGGGAAATAGCTGGTGTGTTAAAAATAAAAATCACATTTTTGAGACAATTGTGAACCCCTTTAAGGGATGCTATGTAAATCCCTGAAACTTGAGTACACTGATGAAGGGCAAAGATAAACAGTTAGGTTACTTAAAGTATAATTTACTGTACTTTTGAGATGTTTTAGTTAATGTCTACTAATTTATATTGTTGTAATAGGGTCTACGAAAGAAGAAAAACATGAAACAGAAAATGCTTGAAAATGGTTGTAAAAGCATCGCTTCCCCACAAAACAAAATAAATAAGAAAAACAAATCTGTCACACTAAAGAAAAATTTCAAGAAGAAAACCAGACCCACAGAGGCAACTAAATCATACAAAAATAATGAATCAGGTGGAATAAAAACCACAGAGGAGGGCACTCAAAGTTTATCGAAAATAACAGAAAATACCTCCCATGAGGAAGTTGTCAAGTTTAAAAGACTGGTAAAAGACATTGCTCCACACACAAATGGAATACAGAACTTGGAAGCAAAAGACATTGCTCCACACACAAATGGAATACAGAACTTGGAAGCTAAAGTAAACAACAATGAATTAATCAAGAAAAGAAAGCAGTTTTCAGATGTGCCTGTAAAATTATTGCCAAAGAGAAAGAAGACAAACAAGAAAATTATTTCCACTGCTGCTGACACAAAAGCTGACAAACAAGAGGAAATGAGTGTTTCATTTTCTGATGAATACAGAGGGGAGGAAATTCAGACCTGTAAGTGGGAGTTTTATTATTTGTTCATATGTAATTTTCACATTAATTTAACTTCCTTAACCCTTTGACTGTCGCGGCCGTATATATACGTCTTACGAGGTACCGTGTTTGACGTATATATACTCATAAATTCTAGCAACTTCAAATCAAGCAGGAGAAAGCTGGTAGGCCCACATGTGAGAGAATGGGTCTGTGTGGTCAGTGTGCACCATATAAAAAAAATCCTGGAGCACGCAGTGCATAATGAGAAAAAAAAACTCCGACCGTTTTTTTTTTTTAATTAAAATGCCAGCTTTGTGGTCTATTTTCGTATAGTATTTATGGTTGTATTCTCGTTTTCTTGGTCTCATTTGATAGAATGGAAAACATATTATAGAAATAGCGGTGATTTTGATTGATTTTACTATAAAAAGAACCTGGAAATGGAGCTCAAAGTAGTGGAAATGTTTGATTTTTGCCAATGTTCAAAAGTAAACAAATGATGTCATTGTCCAATAAATGTCCAACTAGCCATTCTAATATGCAGTCATGAATGGGTTGATGTTATTTATACAATTATTACAGTATTGCAGTAGTCTGCATAATAGGAAGTCTTCTATTTTTTGTTTGAATGAAAATTCAAAATAGAAAGGAAGAGTAATATCAGAGGGGCCTGGAGACATGACTGACGAACAAAGAAAATGTTATTTTAGAGCCAGGAATGTCTGCATTGTTCATTCTGGACCTTATTTTGAAATTGTCATATTTTTTAATTTTCGTGAAATTGGCCAAATTGCAAATTTCTGACCACATTATTGGGTAGTTGAAATCAGTAAATGGGCAGTTTCTTGTACTCAATCGATAGAAAAAATGGAGTTCTAAAGAAATAGCTATGAGTTTGGTCGACTGGAACAACGGAATTAGCCGAAAATAGGGCTCAAAGTGGGCGAAATCGCCGATTTGTAAATATCGCCGAGGTCGCTAACTTCGCGAGAGCATAATTCCGTCAGTTTTCCATCAAATTTCGTTTTTTTGGTGTCATTACAATCGGGAAAAGATTCTCTATCATTTCATAAGTTTTTTTTTTTTTTTTTTTTTAAATTTTGAAATTTTGCGACACCAGGAGACACCTCAGGATTGGGGGTTGTGACAGTCAAGGGGTTAAATTATAAAAAATACGAGTACGTAATAGGAGTTTTTAAGTGTCACTCGCTCGGTTACTTGAAGCATTAAAAACAAATTTTAAGATTTTCATCTCAAATCTATGTAAGAAAGATTGCCAATAGAAATATTCATTTAAATATTCAATATCTTTTTTTCATTATTTGTTTAAGGAATAACCTGTTTTCCATAACTCTTTTTATGATAAGTAAGTTTTCCAGTTGTAATTAAGAAATGTAACATGAGATAATTAAACAAATTAATATCTTGTGTGTTCTTGGTTCTTGTTAAGTAGTCTCATAGTTTTATTGATCATATTTTTCATTTACAGTGTCTGGAGAGGAAATTGGTGCTGTTGATACTAAAGACAGTCGTGAAGAAGGGCAAAAGGCTCTTCTGCATATAATCAACCCTTACTCAGAAGAGGAATTCATGAGGTATTTGCTGTGAAGCTTGTGACTAACTGATAGTTCATAGCCTTATCAGTATGTTTATCTTTTCCTAACAGATGCAAAATTGTCCCTTTTCAATCTTTCCTGAACTGATTTTATCCAGCTTTCTTCCTGTTTGGAATAATAGATATAAAATGTAATTTTCTCTCATGTCTTTTATTTTAGGTTGAAATTAATCTCTTCAGTTAATTTTTGGTGTTACCTTTTCTTATATATGCATTCAAAGAGAATTTTAACTAAAATTCCGGGATGCCAAAAGGTTTTTAGAGTGCTGTGAGGATTTGAAAGATTTGATGTCATATAAAATATTCTAATAGATAAATGTGGTCTGTATGATCTTTAGTATTTTTCATAAATATACTGTAATATTTTTTAAATAGTAAACAGATTTTTTTTTAACAAACTGGCCAAATTGGCCATCTCCCACTGAGGTAGGGTGGCTTGTCAAAGAGGAAAACACTTTCAACATCATTTATTCAATCACTGTCTCGCCAAAAGTGTGCTGAAATCACAGTTCATTTGACTTTACAAACTGTAACATTCCTACCTCTCTTTGAGACTGCAGGCGCTGTACTTCCCACCTCCAAGACTCGAATCTGGCTAGCTGGTTTCCCTGAATCCCTTCATAAATGCCTCCTTGCTCACACTCCAACAGCATGTCAAATCATAAAACCACTTGCCTTCACTTCTATACTCACACAAGCCTGTTGGATGTCTAAGCCCCTAGCACTCAAACCATCCTATACTCCCTCCAACCTTTCCTAGGATGACCCCCGCCCTTCCTTCCCTCCACCCAGATTTATATATCCTCCTATTCACTGTATATTTCTCCATCCTTTTTAAATGTCCAAAACAACTCCTGAGCCTTCTTAATAATACTTTTGACAACTCCACACTATCTCCCAATCTCCAAACTTGGAATTCTTTACATAATATTCACACCACACATTTCCCTCAAACACATCTCCACTGCCTCCAACCTCCTCGTTGCAATATTTAAAAACCCATGCTTCACACCCATACAACAGTGTTGGTACCACTATACTCTGGTGCATTTCCTTTTTTTGCTTTCATGGATAAAGTTCTTTGTATCACAATACTAGATATCTAAGCTACATAGTTAGGCAACTTAGTATGTAATTTTGTAAATGGTATGCATTTAAATTATAATATCATTAAAATTTTGTCGATATGAATTTGCAGGTCAGGAGTGGAAGAAGAGAATAATAAAGGATGGGTTTTTAACCACAGTAGGATTCTTCACTGTGAAGAATCTAAATTTTAGAAACTCATTTAATGTAATGTATGAACAGTTCAACATTTAGTCATCGGGTGTTTGTACTGCATACAGTACTGTACATTACTTTTAACCGAGAAATGAGAATTTAAAATATGCTGCTGTGGGCATACTGGAAAAAAAATCATTCTAAGGGAATTATTGTTGTGAGTTTTGGAATGCTTACAAGATAAAATGTTTAAAATAATATATTAGCTCTTTTTATTTTCAAAGATTATGTCATTGTATACAAATACATAACAAATACAAAAAATCAACATTTTACAGAAACTACTGGGAGAAGAAGCCACTGCTCATTAAGCGTAATGATGCACACTACTATAAGAGTTTATTCACCACATTTATTTTTGACAAGATTCTACATCAGGTGAGTTTAGCGAAGACGTAAGATAAGGTGTTGATCTGACAGTGAAATCTAAATGTAGGAAGGAAATCAAACTTAGTATAAGAAATTAGAAGATGAATTAAAAAGTTCTTAATATGTTGTAAAAGTCCCAATAATATATGCACTGTGTGCATTGTCTTATTTGAAAGGAGTATTATTACTGTTCATTATACAGGTGTATATAGTAGCATTGACCATAGGGGATCTGCACATGCCAATAGTTATATAACCCTTTTACTGTTTGCAGTTTATGTACTATCATTGAAATTTTTAAGCTGAGTAGATAGTGTTGTAGGGCTATGAATGAAAATCTTGGAAGAAGAAAAAATTAAATCTTTTTAAGATACTCCTTTGGGGAAACCTAGCGACAAATACATTCATCTCAATTCACCTTGGTATATAATATTGCCAGGCTATATGCTATTCTAGTACAGTATATTTTAATGCAGTAATAATAATACAGATATTTTTCATAACTGACAATTTATCATTTTCAGTATAGATTCCTTTAACCCTTTTAGGGTCCAAGGCCCAAATCTGGAGTCACGCACCAGTGTCCAAGAATTTTAAAAAAAAAAATTTGTTATTTTTTCTCATGAAATCGTAGAGAATCTTTTTGTGAAGGTAATAAAACAAAAAGTACGAAATTTGGTGGAAAATTGACGAAATTATGCTCTCGCGAATTTTGATGTGTCAGCGACATTTACGAATCGGCGATTTTGCCGACTTTGACTCCCATTTTAGGCCAATTACATTATTCCAATCAACCAAATTCTTAGCTATTTCACTAGTATTACTTCTATTCTATCGATTGAGCACAAGAAATCGCCAAGTCAACTGTTTCAACTACAAAATAAAGTGATCGGAAATTGTTAATTTGGCCAATTTAACACAAAGTTCAGAATATTCCAATTTCAAAATAGGGTCCAGAATAAACAATGTAGGCATTCCTGGCACTAAACTAACGTTTCCTCTGTTCATTAGTTATGTTTTGAGGCTTTACAAATAAATTCCATTTTGATTTTTTATTCACATAATGAATTTTTATTCACACCAAAAAATAGAAGATTTACTGTTATGCAATACTGTAATAATTGTATAAATATCATCACCATATTTGTGAATGTATATTAGACCCACCAGCTGACGTGTATTAGACGTGTGAGGTCGTTTGTTTACTCTTGAATATCGGCAAAAATTTAACATTTCCGCTACTTTGAGCTCAGTTTCAAGCCATTTCCAGTGCTAAAACCAATCAAAATCATCTCTATTTCTGTAATATGTCTTCCATTCTATCAAATGAGACCAAGAAATCGCAAATACAACTATAAAAAACATACGAAAAAACACTGCAAAGTTGCTGTTTTAATCGAAAAATCATGATTTAAGTTTTTTTCTCTCATTATACACAGTGTGCTGCAGGATCTGTTTTATGTGGTGCACACATACCACATAGATGTATTCTCTCATATCTAGGCCCAAATGTACCACTCACAGTTTATCAGAGTGAGCTGAGCTCATGGCGTAGATCTACGGTTTGGACCCTGAACGTAAAGCCGTAGATCTACGGGACGGACCCTGAAAGGGTTAAGGAATTGTGGCACTGCATACATAAACATGAAAATTATTAACCAAAAGTATAAATAAACTACTGTTACTTTGACAGAATATGGTACTCTACACCAAGAACTTAGATATTACATCTTACAGCAATGGAAAGAGAGAAACCCATAATCCTATTGGACAGGCCCTAGCACCTGTTGTGTGGGACTACTATAACAATGGGTGCAGTATACGGATGCTGAATCCTCAGACTTTCCACCGTCCAGTGTGGAAGCTACTTGCTACATTGCAAGAACATTTCATGTCCTTCTGTGGTGCCAATGTGTAAGTTAGACTTATACAACATTGCACTAAAAAATGCTTCAAATCGGTTTTAACATTCATTGTATGCCCTGATGGGTATATTTAATATGAAAATGCCTATAATTGATTTTGAAAGTTTTATTCTCAAAGTAATTTGTGAGGCTAAACCTAATTTTTGACTGCCTGGTCAGTCATCTGGTTACAGCCAGTGTGACAGAAATACGTGATTTTAGTAATCTGAAATTTACTTGTTAATTTGTTTATTTTTTATTTGTTTTATAACCACTCTAATGACTTACAGCCATCCATAATTAAAGTTGTTAGTTCTTTTTTTTTTTTTTTTTTTAATTGTTTCTTGTGTAATAATTCCCATGTTATTTTTTCTTGAAAGCTATCTTACGCCCCCTAATACCCAAGGGTTTGCACCTCATTGGGATGATATTGAGGCTTTCATTCTACAACTTGAAGGAAAGAAGCAATGGAAAGTGTACAGTCCAAGGTATGGATATTCTCTTAATACAGTTTATCAGGATCATATCCATTTGTTCTAACATCTTTGGTTTAATTCTCTAAATACATATGGTATCCTTGTGGGTTTAGTGCTTAGTTTTGATTATAATAAGAATAATAATAATAAAGGTGGGCTAGTGCAAAGATGAGTAGTGGGGGGGTTGAAGAGGGTTGGAATAGTTTTAAAAATGCAGTATTAGAATGTGGGGCAGAAGTTTGTGGTTACAGGAGGGTGTGGGCAGGAGGAAAGAGGAGTGATTGGTGGAATGATGAAGTAAAGGGTGTGATAAGAGAAAAAGGTAGCTTATGAGAGGTTTTTACAAAGCAGAAGTGTTATAAGAAGAGCAGAGTATATGGAGAGTAAAAGAAAGGTAAAGAGAGTGGTGAGAGAGTGCAACAGGAGAGCAGATGATAGAGTGGGAGAGGCACTGTCAAGAAATTTTAATGAAAATAAGAAAAAATTTTGGAGTGAGTTAAACAAGTTAAGGAAGCCTAGGGAAAGTATGGATTTGTCAGTTAAAAACAGAGTAGGGAAGTTAGTAGATGGGGAGATGGAGGTATTAGGTAGATGGCAAGAATATTTTGAGGAACTTTTAAATGTTAAGGAAGACAGAGAGGCAGTAATTTCATGCACTGGTCAGGGAGGTATACCACCTTTTAGGAGTGAAGAAGAGCAGAATGTAAGTGTGGGGGAGGTACGTGAGGCATTATGTAGAATGAAAGGGGGTAAAGCAGCTGGAACTGATGGGATCATGACAGAAATGTTAAAAGCAGGAGGGGATATAGTGTTGGAGTGGTTGGTACCTTTGTTTAATAAATGTATGAAAGAGGGGAAGGTACCTAGGGATTGGCAGAGAGCATGTATAGTCCCTTTATATAAAGGGAAAGGGGACAAAAGAGACTGCAAAAATTATAGAGGAATAAGTACACATTTATTTATGCACACTCATCTGAGTTTTCTTTGATTTTATCTTAATAGTTCTTGGTCTTATTAATTTTCCTTTTATATCCATGGGGAAGTGGAATAAGAATCTTTCCTCCGTAAGCCATGCGTGTTGTAAAAGTCAACTAAAATGCCGGGAACAATGGGCTAGTAACCCCTTTTCCTGTAAAGATTACTAAAAAGAATAAGAAGAAGAAAATTGTCAAAGTGGGAAGTCTGAATGTGCGTGGATGTTGTGCAGATGATAAGAAAGAGATGATTGTGGATGTTATGAATGAGAAGAAGCTGGATGTCCTGGCTTTAAGTGAAACAAAGCTAAAGGGGGTGGGAGAGTTTCAGTGGAGAGGAATAAATGGGATTAGGTCAGGGGTTTCAAATAGAGTTAGAGCTAAAGAAGGAGTAGCAATAATGTTGAAGGATAAGCTATGGCAGGAAAAGAGGGACTATAAATGTATTAATTCAAGGATTATGTGGAGTAAAATAAAGATTGGATGTGAAAAGTGGGTTATAATAAGCGTGTATGCACCTGGAGAGAGAGAAGTGTAGAGGAGAGAGAGAGATTCTGGGAAATGTTGAGTGAATGCATGGGGAGTTTTGAATCAAGTGTGAGAGTAAATGGTGGTTGGGGATTTCAATGCTAAAGTGGGTAAAAATGTTATGGAAGGAGTAGTAGGTAAAATTTGGGGGTGCCAGGGGTAAATGTAAATGGGGAGCCTTTAATTGAGCTATGTGTAGAAAGAAATTTAGTAATAAGTAATACATATTTTATGAAAAAGAGGATAAATAAATATACAAGGTATGATGTAGCACGTAATGAAAGTAGTTTATTTAGATTATGTATTGGTGGATAAAAGGTTGATGGGTAGGCTCCAGGATGTACATGTTTATAGAGGGGCAACTGATATATCAGATCATTATTTAGTTGTAGCTACAGTTAGAGTAAGAGGTAGATGGGAAAAGAGGAAGGTGGCAACAACAAGTAAGAGGGAGGTGAAAGTGTATAAAACTAAGGGAGGAGGAAGTTTCGGGTGAGATATAAGCGACTATTGGCAGAAAGGTGGGCTAGTGCAAAGATGAGTAGTTGGGGGGGTTGAAGAGGGTTGGAATAGTTTTAAAAATGAAAGTATTAGAATGTGGGGCAGAAGTTTGTGGTTATAGGAGAGTGGGGGCAGGAGGAAAGAGGAGTGATTGGTGGAATGATGAATAGTAAAGGGTGTGATAAAAGAGAAAAAGGTAGCTTATGAGAGGTTTTTACAAAGCAGAAGTGTTATAAGAAGAGCAGAGTATATGGAGAGTAAAAGAAAGGTAAAGAGAGTGGTGAGAGAGTGCAAAAGGAGAGCAGATGATAGAGTGGGAGAGGCACTGTCAAGAAATTTTAATGAAAATAAGAAAAAATTTTGGAGTGAGTTAAACAAGTTAAGAAAGCCTAGGGAAAAATATGGATTTGTCAGTTAAAAACAGAGTAGGGGAGTTAGTAGATGGGGAGATGGAGGTATTGGGTAGATGGCGAGAATATTTTGAGGAACTTTTAAATGTTAAGGAAGAAACAGAGGCAGTAATTTCAGCACTGGTCAGGGAGGTAAAACCATCTTTTAGGAGTTGAAGAAGATAGAATGTAAGTGTGGGGGAGGTACGTGAGGCATTACGTAAAATGAAAAGGGGGTAAAGCAGCTGGAACTGATGGGATCATGACAGAAATGTTAAAAGCAGGGGGGGATATAGTGTTGGAGTGGTTGGTACTTTTGTTTAATAAATGTATGAAAGAGGGGAAGGTACCTAGGGATTGGCAGAGAGCATGTATAGTCCTTTATTTTAAAGGAAAGGGGACAAAAGAGACTGTAAAATTTATAGAGGAATAAGCTTACTGAGTATACCAGGAAAAGTGTACGGTAGGGTTATAATTGAAAGAATTAGAGGTAAGACAGAATGTAGGATTGCGGATGAGCAAGGAGGTTTTAGAGTGGGTAGGGGATGTGTAGATCAGGTGTTTACATTGAAGCATATATGTGAACAGTATTTAGATAAAGATAGGGAAGTTTTTATTGCATTTATGGATTTAGAAAAGGCATATGATAGTGGATAGAGGAGCAATGTGGCAGATGTTGCAAGTATATGGAATAGGTGGTAAGTTATTAAATGCTGTAAAGAGTTTTTATGAGGATAGTGAGGCTCAGGTTAGGGTGTGTAGAAGAGAGGGAGAATACTTCCCGGTAAAAGTAGGTCTTAGACAGGGATGTGTAATGTCACCATGGTTGTTTAATATAATTATAGATGGGGTTGTAAAGGAAGTAAATGCTAGGGTGTTCGGGAGAGGGGTGGGATTAAATTATGGGGAATCAAATTCAAAATGGGAATTGACACAGTTACTTTTTGCTGATGATACTGTGCTTATGGGAGATTCTAAAGAAAAATTGCAAAGGTTAGTGGATGAGTTTGGGAATGTGTGTAAAGGTAGAAAGTTGAAAGTGAACATAGAAAAGAGTAAGGTGATGAGGGTATCAAATGATTTAGATAAAGAAAAATTGCATATCAAATTGGGGAGGAGGAGTATGGAAGAAGTGAATGTTTTCAGATACTTGGGAGTTGACGTGTCGGCGGATGGATTTATGAAGGATGAGGTTAATCATAGAATTGATGAGGGAAAAAAGGTGAGTGGTGCGTTGAGGTATATGTGGAGTCAAAAAACGTTATCTATGGAGGCAAAGAAGGGAATGTATGAAAGTATAGTAGTACCAACACTCTTATATGGGTGTGAAGCTTGGGTGGTAAATGCAGCAGCGAGGAGACGGTTGGAGGCAGTGGAGATGTCCTGTTTAAGGGCAATGTGTGGTGTAAATATTACGCAGAAAATTTGGAGTGTGGAAATTAGGAAAAGGTGTGGAGTTAATAAAAGTATTAGTCAGTGGGCAGAAGAGGGGTTGTTGAGGTGGTTTGGTCATTTAGAGAGAATGGATCAAAGTAGAATGACATGGAAAGCATATAAATCTATAGGGGAAGGAAGGCGGGGTAGGGGTCGTCCTCGAAAGGGTTGGAGAGAGGGGGTAAAGGAGGTTTTGTGGGCAAGGGGCTTGGACTTCCAGCAAGCGTGCGTGAGCGTGTTAGATAGAAGTGAATGGAGACGAATGGTACTTGGGACCTGATGATCTGTTGGAGTGTGAGCAGGGTAATATTTAGTGAAGGGATTCAGGGAAACCGGTTATTTTCATATAGTTGGACTTGAGTCCTGGAAATGGGAAGTACAATGCCTGCACTTTAAAGGAGGGGTTTGGGATATTGGCAGTTTGGATGGATATGTTGTGTATCTTTATATGTGTATGCTTCTAAACTGTTGAATTCTGAGCACCTCTGCAAAAACAGTGATAATGTGTGAGTGTGGTGAAAGTGTTGAATGATGATGAAAGTATTTTCTTTTTGGGGATTTTCTTTCTTTTTTGGGTCACCCTGCCTCGGTGGGAGACGGCCGACTTGTTGGAAAAAAAAAATAATAATATCTATGGTATAAATGGTAGTTTTGTCTGTCAGATGAAGTGGGAAAATTTCTCGATGCTAGTCTGTCACGTGATAACCCACTCAGCGATGCTTGACACTTGAGTGTTATGAATGTCCATCTCTTTTAATGAAATTACCAAGCAAATTTAACTATCCACCATATGAGGCACACAGAGAAATTAAAAAATTTACCAAAGCTACCGGCCTGATTTTATTGGAAATTCCACATTCTATACAAAATTTTATATCAATATGAGGAATATTTTCTTCAATATCATCATTGTTTAAAGTGTCTAGCATTTGTTCATGATTATTAAGACAAAAGTATTACATTCTTGTCATTGAAGGTGAAAAACTGAATGAGACACTAAAATAAACAAATATATCTACATGTGTTACATATTTTAACATTAGTGAAAGAAAAAATACATCTAATGCTAGTCATGATTATTTGTTTTATTCATTTATTCTTATATACATTTTTTTAGGTCAGAAAATGAGGAGCTACCTGTGAATTCCAGTGATAATCTCTCCCAGGATGAAATTGGGAACCCTATTTTAGATATAGTTTTAAATGCAGGAGACCTGTTGTACTTCCCGAGAGGTTACATTCACCAAGGTTGTGCAGTAGATAACACCCATTCTCTCCATATTACCATCTCCACTTACCAGAAGAACACTTGGGGGCATTTGCTTGAAACAGTAAGTCCTTTTCTGCTACTGTTTTTAATAGTGGTGGTGGGAGGACATACCTGTTGTTTATAATTTTTTGTATTTTTTTTTTTAATCTATTCTTACATAGGCTCATTTATCTCATTGTTTCCTTGTACCTTTTTCCTTTAATTCTAAGTCTTCTTTTATCATTTGTTCATACTTGCCAAGGTAATTCTTGTTAATTTCAGTCATATTTCCTTTATGCTTTTCTTGGCAATTTACTCATGTGTATATTGATCAAACAATGTCAGTCAAATTTTATTTCCAAGAATTACAGGATGTTGCTGCAGCTCTATGATTACATCTTTTGTACATTATAAGTGTTTTGGGCAAAGCATTTTGCGCAGATTATAACTAGTACAGTACTGTAATGAAGAACTACTTACTATTAGTACTGCACAAGTATTTGGATAATGATTATAACAAGTAATTTAAGTTTTGTGTGACGTTTCAGCGTGAATAATTTCTGTATGTTTGAATTGTTTGGAAAAGAATATCTGTGTAACTGTTACCTTAAGAAAGGAAGTTCAGACAAAGTTGTTATTATTATTTGGGGATTTTCTTTCTTTTTTGGGTCACCCTGCCTCGGTGGGAGACGGCCGACTTGTTGAAAAAAAAAAAAAAAAAAAAAAAAAAAATTAAGAGAAAGCATTCAAGCCATAGAAGGTCATACAGTATATACAAATTGTAAAAGTGCATGCTGTATATACAAATTTTAATAAATCAATCATTTGACAGCTTTTACCTCAAGCTCTCAATACAGCCATGAGTGAAGACATAGAATTCAGGCGAGGTCTTCCCTGTGATTACTTGGACTATATGGGAATTGTCAACATGGATAAGGATTCTCCGAGTCGGAAAGCATTTATTCAGAAGGTGTGTGTGTGTGTATAAGGATAGTTATAATGGTTTATTGAGTACGATATGTGCACTTGGCTATCATTATTGTGGAGACTTACACTGTCTCCAAAAAATTCACCTCAAACTTGTATTTCATGTTTTCCACTCTCAAGAATCATTCTCTTTATTGGATTGATAAAGTCAATTGGTGGAACATCTCCATAAAAACAATACCAAAGTTGCACAAGTCTTATTCATCTACTTGTCAGTTTTGTATACCACTAACATATAATTAGAGTTTATTAAGTTTTATACGTAGGTTCATTGTAAAAGGTTTTTAACCAAGTAGTGCCAAATTTGAATTAAATAAAATTTGTTACAATGGCTACTTCTGTATTTCTGCCCAACTAAATTTTCATGGTAAGATCAGCATTACATGAGCTTTGCAAGTATAGCATAGATCACATATCAATCACAGCATAGATCACATATCAATCACTTATGTTCGTCAAGCAAGATTTCACACCATTGTCAAAGTAACAAATGTGTTTAAGTACTGATAATTAATTTGGCAACTTCTGAGTTGTATGACCCATATGGGCTTAGTATTTCCCCATGAATTTAATAAAAATTGAGGATTACACAACTGATGTCTAGTCTAAAACTTGAATGAAAAGATTTTATAGTGTTTTACAATAACTAACTTCACATAGATGAATTGTAAATTAAGAGACAAGGCATAAAGGTATTCATGATATCGAAATGTTGCTTAATATCTTGGTTTACCAAAGATTATTTGGTAATTGAAACCTAGTAATTTTATTTACTGGACAGCAATGGACTTAATTTTTTATTCAGAAAGTAAACATTTTGCATTATTTTGGGTACTATGATTAATTCCAGGTTTTGCTGCTGAACATGAATGCATGGATTTTTTTTTTACTAAGGGAAAGTTATAGAGGGTTTGTGTATAGAAGACTGTAACTGCCTGCTGTAATGAAACTGATTTAAGGTGTGTGTATGCTTTGACAATCAGTGCCCACAATAATGCTATTACTGTTGGTACAGAAATAGTTTATATACTAAATTTAAGATGGACTCAAATTTCTTATTTTTCAGTTGGGAGAATTGGTAGGACGTCTGATGAATTTTGCTCCCGTTGACGCTGCTGTGGACCAAAGAGGTGCCAGTTTAATGCATGATTCTCTGCCGCCTTTCCTTAAAAAAAGTTAGTTTACCGAAAGGGTGTAAACTTTAGTAATTAACACGAGCCTTTTTCTCTATTGATACCCATTTCTCTGCTGTAAGAAAAGTAAATGCGAGGGTCTTGGCAAGAGGCGTGGAGTTAAAAGATAAAAAATCACACAAAGTGAGAGTTGTCACAGTTGCTCTTTGCTGATGACACTGCTCTTGGAAGATTCTGAAGAGAAGTTGCAGAGGTTGGTGGATGAATTTGGTAAGGTATGTACAAGAAGAAAAATAAAAGTGAATACAGGAAAGAGTAAGGTTATGAGGACAACAAAAAGATAAAGGGAAAGGGGACAAAAGAGATTGTAAAAATTATAGAGGAATAAGTTTACTGAGTATACCAGGAAAAGTATATGGTAGGGTTATAATTGAAAGAATTGGAGGTAAGACAGAATGTAGGATTGCAGATGAGCAGGGAGGCTTCAGAGTGGGTAGGGGATGTGTAGATCAAGTGTTTACGTTGAAGCATATATGTGAACAGTATTTAGATGAAGGTAGGGAAGTTTTTATTGCATTTATGGATTTAGAAAAGGCATATGATAGAGTGGATAGAGGAGCAATGTGGCAGATGTTACAAGTATATGGAATAGGTGGTAAGTTACTAAATGCTGTAAAGAGCTTTTATGAGGATAGTGAGGCTCAGGTTAGGATATCAATGAACTCCAGGACGATTTGAACAAATTAATGTCTTGGTCTGAGAAATGGCAGATGAAGTTTAATGTGGATAAGTGTAAGGTACTTGCCCTTGGTAATGAAAACAACCCTCGAAGCTATAATCTAGGTGAAGTAGAGCTTGGTCATACAGAATGTGAAAAAGACTTGGGAGTCATGGTAAGCAGAAATCTAAAGCCAAGACAGCAGTGCCTCAGTGTGCGCAACAAGGCCAACAGATTACTTGGATTTATCTCAAGAAGTATAAGTAACAGAAGTCCAAAAGTTATTTTACAGCTCTATACATCACTAGTGAGGCCTCATTTAGATTATGCTGCTCAGTTTTGGTCCCCTTACTACAGGATGGACATAGACTCATTAGAGAACATACAGAGAAGAATGACTAAAATGATTTACTGTGTAAGGAACCTCCCGTATGAAGATAGACTTAAAGCCTTAAATCTCCACTCTCTGGAGAGGCGTAGAATGAGGGGAGATATCATTGAAGTGTATAAGTGGATGACGGGCATAAACAAGGGAGACATTAATAAAGTACTGAGGGTGTCGAACCAGGTAAGAACCAGGAATAATGGATTTAAGTTGGATAAATTTAGATTTAGAAAGGACATAGGTAAGTACTGGTTTTCTAACAGAGTTGTAGATGCGTGGAACAGTCTTCCCAGTGGGGTGATAGAGGCTAGGACCTTGGGTAGCTTTAAGAAGAGACTGGACAAATATATGAGCGGGAGGGGCTGGGTTTGATTGGTGTTGGGGGGTGCGGGAGTTGTTTCTTGAGTAGCTTTAGGTAGATGTCGTTTTGATAAGGACCTGCCTCGTATGGGCCAGTAGGCCTTCTGCAGTGTTCCTACATTCTTATGTTCTTATGTTCTTAAAAGTAGGTCTTAGACAGGGATGTGTAATGTCACCATGGTTGTTTAATATATTTATAGATGGGGTTGTAAAAGAAGTAAATGCTAGGGTGTTCGGGAGAGGGGTGGGATTAAATTATGGGGAATCAAATTCAAAATGGGAATTGACACAGTTACCTTTTGCTGATGATACTGTGCTAATGGGAGATTCTAAAGAAAAATTGCAAAGGTTAGTGGATGAGTTTGAGAATGTGTGTAAAGGTAGAAAGTTGAAAGTGAACATAGAAAAGAGTAAGGTGATGAGGGTATCAAATGATTTAGATAAAGAAAAACTAGATATCAAATTGGGGAGGAGGAGTATGGAAGAAGTGAATGTTTTCAGATACTTGGGAGTTGACGTGTCGGCGGATGGATTTATGAGGATGAGGTTAATCATAGAATTGATGAGGGAAAAAAGGTGAGTGGTGCGTTGAGGTATATGTGGAGTCAAAAAACGTTATCTATGGAGGCAAAGAAGGGAATGTATGAAAGTATAGTAGTACCAACACTCTTATATGGATGTGAAGCTTGGGTGGTAAATGCAACAGCGAGGAGACGGTTGGAGGCAGTGGAGATGTCCTGTCTAAGGGCAGTGTGTGGTGTAAATATTATGCAGAAAATTCAGAGTGTGGAAATTAAGAGAAGGTGTGGAGTTAATAAAAGCATTAGTCAGAGGGCAGAAGAGGGGTTGTTGAGGTGGTTTGGTCATTTAGAGAGAATGGATCAAAGTAGAATGACATGGAAAGCATATAGATCTATAGGGGAAGGAAGGAGGGGTAGGGGTCGTCCTCGAAAGGGTTGGAAAGAGGGGGTAAAGGAGGTTTTGTGGGCGAGGGGCTTGGACTTCCAGCAAGCGTGCATGAGCGTGTTAGATAGGAGTGAATGGAGACGAATGATACTTGGGACCTGACGATCTGTTGGAGTGTGAGCAGGGTAATATTTAGTGAAGGGATTCAGGGAAAAACCGGTTATTTTCATATAGTCGGATTTGAGCCCGGGAAATGGAATACAATCCTGCACTTTAAAGGGGGGTTTGGGATTTTGGGCATTTTTGGAGGGATAGTTGTGTATCTTTATACGTATATGTTCTAAATGGTATTCTGAGCACCTTGAAAAAAGCAGTGATAATGTGTGAGTGGGTGAAAGTGTTGAATGATATGAAAGTTTTTTTTTTTGGGGGATTTTCTTTTTTTTTTGGGGTCACCCTGCCTCGGGGGAAAAGGGGGGCCCCGACTTGTTGAAAAAAAAAAAAAAAAGTTGGGTGATGAAAGATGGATTCGTTTGGGAGAGAGAAAGTATGGAGGAGGTGAATGTTTCAGATACAGGGACCCCGCCAACGATATTAATCCTTCCTGAGAGCCAACGTTAGGGAAATTACGTTAGCCGAATTAATTTTCCCCAAAAATAAGGGAAATCAAATAATCCGTTCCACCCCCGAAAAAAAAAAAATTTTTTACCACATGAAATAAAATTTTTAATACACAAAAAACTAAAGAAGGACAGTCAATTACATGACACTTACTTTTTGAAGATCTGGTGATGATTGAGGGGATGGGAGGAGGGGAGAGTGTGGGAGGGTGTTAATTTTTAAAAGGGGGGAATCCCCTTCCATACGACTTAGATTCAAGCTTTTTCCCCGGGGTTATTTCCCCTTTTTTTAATCCCATGGCCCGCTTGAGAGCACGGGCCCTCTGTTCACAACATGTCTGTCCTAGGGGCCCTGTCCCTCCCATTTTTATGCATCCAAAGTGTTTCACAACATTGTCGTGAAATAGTCCCAGCACAGCTTGCAAAACTGTGTGGGGTGATTTTTTTCAAAAAGGTTTGCACTTTTAAGCCAATTTACAATTTCCTTTTAATCTTTGAATAGGCAACTTTCCCCAATTTCTCTATCCCCTCCGTGGAGCAGTTTCCTCAGGTCTTGCCTCTTGTGTTGAAGATGATCTTTCAGTCATCGTGGTTAGTTCATCATTTTCCTCCCCCACCCAAATCTTCCACACCTCCCCCCTAACCTCCAACCCCAAGGATTCCCCAATGCCCCAATTTATTCCACAAATGGCATAGGGTTCCAGGTTAGCCTCAAATCCTTTAAAATCCCTTTTTTCTAACATTCTGGCCACAGTTTTTTCCCGTTCAAGGGCCTCTTAGTCACTTTCCCCCCAGCCTTACCCATAATTTTACACAATTGAGGTGTAAAGTGATTCTCCAAAACCTCTTAGAGTCAATTGAGTTTCGTGGGCACTACAAAGCACCCCTTTTAAACATGCTTTTTTGTAGAGCTTTTTTTAATTTGAAAGACCTGCTGGTCCCTGGGCTGCAGGAGAGGAGTGTTTAGGAGGCAAAACTTGACCTTAATGAAACTCATGTCCCCAGAAAGTCGCTCTGCCATGTCTGAAGGATAACTAGGAGCATTGTCTAATACCAGGAGGCACTTAAGGTCCAATTTATTTTCCAGGAGGTAATTTTTCACAGTGGGGGCAAATGCATGGTGTAACCAGTCATAGAAAAGGTCTCTAGTGACCCATGCCTTACTGTTTGCCCTCCACATCACACACAAATTAGCCTTGAGGATATGGTTTTTCCTGAACACACTGGGAGTTTCAAAGTGATACACCAATAAAGGCTTCACTTTGCAATCACCACTAGCATTAGCACACATCAACAGAGTAAGCCTGTCTTTCATAGGCTTATGTCCTGGGAGTCCCTTTTTTCCTCCTGAGTAATGTAGGTCCTGCTTGGCATTTTCTTCCAAAACAGGCCTGTTTTGTCACAATTAAACACTTGCTCAGGTTTCAATTCTTCACTATGTACTCCTTGAATTCCTTCACATATTTTTCAGCTGCTTTTTGGTCTGAACTGGCAGCCTTACCATGCCTTATCACACTATGTATGCCACTACGATTCTTAAATCTCTCAAACCAACCTTTGCTGGCCTTAAATTCACTCACATCACCACTAGTTGCAGGCATTTTTCTAATTAAATCGTCATGCAACTTCCTAGCCTTTTCACATATGATCGCTTGAGAGATGCTATCTCTGCTATCTGTTTTTTGTTTATCCACACCAATAACAGTCTCTCAACATCTTCTATCACTTGCGATCTCTGTTTCGAAAACAAAGTTGCACCTTTGGCAAGAACAGCTTCCTTGATTGCCGTTTTCTTGGCCACAATGGTAGCGATGGTAGATTGGGGTTTTGTGTACGACCTGGCCAACAATGATCTCTTTCTTCCTATCCATAGTAATTCTCATCCTTTTTGCTGTAGGGTTGGCACTAGAAGCTTTCTTGGGGCCCATGGTGACTTATTTTACAGGTGCAATCACTAAAAACGCTGTGATAATATGAAATGTTCCGATTGTATGTTTGGATGCGACTGCGGTGGCTGGCTTGTAAACACTGGCACCCACGGGACAAGTGAGGC